CATCCAACCTGCCCCCCCTCCCCAGAATCGGCCTGTCCCCCTAAACTGGCTTTGCCTCCTGGAGGGAAAAAGCGGGTCTCCGATCTCCGCACCCCAGGCGTGACTCCGGAGTGACTCCGCTGAAGTTCACGGGGTTTACACGGGGGCGGGAGGGGAGAGAACCCGCAGCAGACTCTGCCCCTCGCTCCCCGGGAAGCCGCGGGGGGAGGCTCGCTGCGCGTGCCGGGCGCTGCCTCGAAGGGGCGAGCGGGCAGGGGCGGAGCCCGCGGCCGGCCCGGGCGGGGCTGGAGCGGCGTGGCGGGGCCCGGCGCGCGGTGCCAGGGCTAGTGCCAGGCGCAAGCAGCGCGCTGCGCGGCAGCAGGTAAGAGCGCTGCGGGCGGGCGGGCTGCGCGGGGCGGGACGGAGCCCGGGGCTGGGCAGAGATCGAGGCGCTACCGCCCCGAGGTTGCCCCTGCTCTTCGGCCCCCGGGGACTGCCCCCAGCAGCACCGCGGCCCGCCCCCTCCCGGCCCATGGCCGGGGGCTGCAGGGACAGGAGCGGGCACGGGGAGGGGCGAGGAGCCCAGTGGCTGGCCCTGGCACCGGGGCTGGTCGCAGTAGGGGGAGACCCAGCCGGCCAGGCAGGAGTCTGGGGGCGCCTAGCCGGGAAGGACTCGCTGCCCTGGGCACTAGGACAGAGGCTGGGGACGCGGGCCCCGGGGAGCTGGGGAGGGCAGAGCCCCAGGAAATGGGCTGGTAGAGGAAGCTGTCCGGGAACTAGCAGGTGGATGGGAAGGGGGGGACCGCAGGACATTGCCCCTTTAAGAGCCCAGCACCGCTTCCCCTCGCTTGCTCCCGGGCCGCTGGTCAGGCCAGTGCCCTGGGATGGGGTCTTCTGCTCCCTCGGCTCTTAAAGGGCCAGTGCACTGGGTGATGTGGGGGCATGGCTGTAGCCTCGCAGTCTGGGTTAGGGTGCCATTGCCCTGAAAATAGCACCCTGATGCTGTGACTCCAGGGAAGGAGCCCTGGTTATGCAGGGGCTCAGAGGGAGGGGTCAGGGCAGGAGGCTCTGCAGGGGGGCGAGGATGCGCCTTCCCTTTAAGAGAAGTCGATTTGCTGCTGGGTCGCAAGACGAGCTCTTGGAGGGAGCTGGGCGTTTGAGCCAATCGCGCCTTTGCTCTCCATTATAGACCCACCAGTCCCACTTGGCACCCAGGCAGTGCCTCTCAGCCGCAGGTCACATGCTGCATGGGGGGGAAACTGAGGCAGGGGGAAAAGAAATGACTTTCCCAAAGAGAGTCAGTGGTGAAGCTAGAGCCCAGGAGTCCTGGCACCCTACCCAGTGTTGCCGTGTCCTTTAGCCCACAGCTGCTCTGGCCCCTCCTTTCTTTCTCCAACTCCCCCTTACTCTCTCCCCATGCCCTGCATTCCTCCCTCTGCCGGCCCGAGGGCCTGTCCTGGTGCTGATGTGGCCCCTGGATGACTCTGTGGCTGCCCCTCTCCTGAGCAGTAAGTGGCTGAAACTGATGCCAGTGACCCTGTGCCGGCCTCTGCCTGCAGCCAGCTGTGGCAGCACTGCCCTGAGCAGGCCCCCCTTTCCTCCCCTCCATGGCCCTGCCAGGGCCCAGGATTCATGCTGCAAGGCATGGCGCCTGTTGCTGCAGAGAGCAGGGCTCACATCCACCACACCCAGCTCTCCACCATAGGCCCCGGCTCGGGCCGGTTCATCCCTGCACTTCATTCCCAGGTTCCCTCCCTGCTCGGTCTCTCTTCCTCTCCCACTGCCGGTCAGGACTCCTGGGTTCTGTTCCTCACCCACCGGACAGCAAGTCACTTCACAGCCTCACTTGTAAAATGGGGTAACGGTGCCCCCTGAAGGCGCAGGTATCATTGTAAGGTGGGAGGCTGAGAGAGCGGCATTCCCCTTGGAGACAGGGACTGCCTGTGGCTCCGGAGCACCCCCATTCTTTTCCCTCGGGTCCCTCCCACTTCTCCATTCAGGCATAGCTGTTTGCTGTCAGAACCTAGGGAAGGCTGCCACACCCCACC